GGTGGGAGGACCTGGGCCCTGCAGTGGGCCTCACCAGCCCAGGCGCCGGGCTTGGAATATGGCCACGTCACTGGGACCAAGCTGCAGCTCCTGCGCCTACTGCTGCCCGGCTGTCGGGAGTCGCCGACCCGCGATGATGGGGTCGTCCCGGAGCCCCTAGTCAGCAGCTGTCTCTGCCCCACTTACCTGAAGCCCTGGCTCGGTTCAGGCCACCCTCCTCAGCCTGCCCGGCTTCCTCTTGGCCATCCCGGGCGGCGTGCTCCTGGAGGCACAGGGATCCAGTGTCCTCCGGTCCCGAGGTTTGTTGTGACGTCCCACGTTTCTCTTCCTTTCTTGACCAGAGGTCACCGCGGCCATCGGCCATCTCCATGGCTGCTTGAGTGCTTCCAATCTAAGTTCATTGCCGATCCTCAAGGGCCGGGGATTTCGCAGAAAAGCCCTGATTCCTGGCCCCTCTAAAAAAGCCAGTGTCCTGCCATCCAGGCCCACATCCCCACGCGGGCCACACAGGCCAGAGCGAGGCCGGCAACCCGCGGCGCTCACTTCAGTGGCCCCGGCCCCAGCCCAGCCGCCAGCCCAGGAGCGGCTGGCGGAGGAACCTGGATTAGAAAACCAGAGTCAGAGGCCTGGGCTGGGCTCCCCGCCTGGTTCTGGCCCACTGGTCCCGTGACTCGGCTCTCTCCTGCCCTCAGGGTCCTCGCCTGCTCAATCACAGTAGTACCTCCGCTGGCCAGAGTTGTGACAGAGAGGATGTGAAGGGCTTGGCACGGGCGTGGCCTGTGATGCTCAACCAGAGGGAAAGTGCCAGAGTGTCGGGGGGAGGCGTGCTGGGTGGACAGACTGCCCACGTTCAAGCCCCAGCCCCCTTGGCATGAACGTGGCCTCACGTGGGCCTTGGCCTCCCCACCTAGCCAACGCTACGGGCCTCTCGGGGGGTTTTGTGAGTGTCGGTTTTGATTGTGACTATTAGATCAAGTAGTTCTTGACCACCCCCGAGGCTCACAGTGCATTCCTTCTTGGCAAACATCACGGCTGTGGCTGCTGGAGCTCGGTGGGGGAGGGGCAGGAATTGCTCAGGAGCCCTCCCTGCTCCAAAACTCTCAGGCCATCTTAACCCCGTGGCTTTCAGTCTCGCAGCTGTCATCAAGAATGCACAGAAGACCCTGGGGACCATTTCATCTCTCTGGAAATACCCAAATGCCCCTACAATGGCGCTGACACCAAAAGGAAGAAGTGGGTATGACCAGGAGGACGGGCCCTGGAGGGAGGAGTCACCCCCTTGCAGACAAGGAGCTAAGGGCAGGGCCCCAGAGGCGGTCCTCAGGGGGAGCCCAGGGTGTCACTACCCTGGGCTGCCTCTGGAGGGTGGTGCACTCAGGAAGTGAGGGGGTCACTGGTAGAACAGGCTGTCCTGGAGGAGGGCAGAGCCGGGGACCAGGCAGCAGCCCTCTGCTCACCCAGGGTTGGGGGTCTGAGAGGAACTAGCATGAAGAAAAGCAGGAACGGGTCTCAGGAAAGAAAATGCCAACGTGCGCTGTGCTTCAACCCTGCACCCAGGGCTGGACCCTTCGTGGCCATTTGTGTGTGTGTGCATGTGTGCATGTGCGCACACACACACTCAGCTATCTACAAGCTAACTGGGGGCAGCAGGCATCCACACCCATGGGTTGTTCTTCCCTTTCAGCATTGGCCATTCAAGGGCCCGGGGCCCAGGGAGAGTGAGAAGGAGTGGTGGACGAAACAGGGAATCTGTCCAGGTCATTTCCTCCTCACTCATCACTGGGCGATGACCTGATGCACACCTCCCGCGTCCTGGAAGCTCATCCCCACCTCCCACGGCTACCAGGTGGGTTCTAACTTGGCCCATCTGTAGAGGCTCAAGGGTGACTTGGTCTCTGTCCACCTGATGGCAAAGCAACTCCCCCAGGAAGCTCAGCTAATATCTAGAGCCTTCCTGCATGGCCAGCAGCTTGGTGGACTGCACCCTCTCATGCAACAATGGGCATGGGGTGCATTCTCCAGGGAGGAAAGGGACTAAGGAAAGTCCAAGTTCAAATCCCTGGGAGACCCTGCTCCCCTCTGCAAAGTCCACACGTTCTCCCTTCTGTTCACAGGCATCGCTTTAAAAACTTTTGTATTTTACATTTTTATTTTTTGGTTTGCATTTATTTCTAACGATACGGAATAACATAAAATTACACATATTCACGGGGCGCCCTGTGCGGTTTCCATGCAGGTCTGCGTACATTGTGCAATGCTAAGCCAGGTTGAACGCATCTCTCTCTCTCTGTTTCTTTATGGTAAGAACTTTCCCACCCTTTCCTCTAGCTTTCTGAAAGGCGCAGGACATTGTCCGTACGGGCTGTAGCCGCCAACTGTGCTGCAGCGCAACAGAACTTCCCGCTCCCAGTCGGGCAACAGCGAGGCACTCACTGATCAACCTTTCCCCACTCCTCCCTCCCCTGTTTCCGATTTTAAGGCGCATAACATGCTTGGGCTTTAAAAACGGGGCTGCTCTTCGGGATGCGGGGCGAGGACCGGATCTGTAGCTGCGCGACCGCTCTCCGCGGAACGCGGGAAACCGACAAGCGGCTAGAAGCAAAGTAAAGCCGGCTCCCGCCACTGCGGCTTCGTTTACTGCGCAGGCGCCGCTCCAGACTGCCGCCACCCGACCGGCCCCTCGTGGACGAAACCAATTCCAGGAGGCAGGGGAGTGTGACGAATCCCCATGCCTCTCGAACATAGTCCAAGCCACCCTCTGGCCAATCAGAAAGTTTCTTTTATCACCGCCTCTGCTACTCACGTGGAAGCTGCTTTTCCCGTGACGCTTCTGAGCGGGAGCGGGAGATGACATGATCGACATCATTTAAAACCACTTGCCAAGCGGCGTGAAGTGGAAGAACCGATACCGCTACGAATTGTCTCTCTAGAAAGGAAGGTAAGCCCCGCCCCTTCCTCCTACTGGGTCTCAGCTGAACATTGGGGGCGGGAGCTTTTGGCAGCAGCCAATCGGGGGCCGACTGGAGGAGGGGGCGGGGCAGCGGACGGTGGTTGCCAGGCGAGGGCTTTTCGCTTGGTGCTTGGGACCCGGGGGTCGTCGAGTGTGTTTGTCCCCGACTCCACGGCCGCGGCCTGAGCAGAGGGGCAGCGGGATCCTCATCGCCCCGCCTGCTCTTGTCACGCCGCCCCGATCCGGGACCCCTCTGGTGTCCTGTTCCCTCGCACCCTAGCTCTCGGTCTCCCAGCCCCGCCCAGGAGGTCCAGGCCCCATCCCGCCGGGTCCCCACCGGGCCACGGGCGCAGGGGACCAGCCCTCCCCGCTTCCGCCGCCCAGGCCGCGAAACCCACCCTCCGACGCCTCTAGCAGCTGCTCTTCACTCCGAGTCGGTGGTGGTGGTGGTTACCATGGTGAAGCTGGCAGCCAAATGCATCCTGGCAGGTGAGTCTGGAAACCCGCGCTGACTGGCTGACTGCCGCGGTCTCCGGAGTCCGCGGGCTTCCTGATTCTCCGGGGGCGTTGGTTCACGGGCAGTGTCCACCCTCTCCCCGTGGCGGCGGCTGCGATTCCGATAGAGCAGATTCCGTCGGGCGGGGAAGAACTCTCTTTCTGAGCCCCAGCTCCCTGCCCTCCGACTCCGCCTTCGCCCGCTGACCTGCACTACAATCAGGCTAAGCAAACCCCCGGCGCTTCAACTAAACCATTTGCTGAACCTCAAAGTTAGGAATCACTACTTTGGTATTCTTCACACACGGGATTATTTTCCTGATCCCACTCCTCTGATAAGAGGGCTAGGGAAGAGGGCTTACAGTACAGGGGGCAGAGTGTGCAGAGGCACCTGTTAGTTGACTACCTGCCGCCCATTTTCAGGAGGATATAAACACTGAGTCCCGGCAAAGCAGGAATCTGTGATTCATTGACTGACCTACAAACAGCCAGCAAAAATGCCTGGAACATAGTAGGTACTCAATAAATGCTTGTAGAATGAATGGATCTGTGGCATTCACATTGCACAGTTTTCCCTGAATCGGTCTGCACGTTTAGGAAGCAGTTGCTTAGATTATACGTTGGTAGAGGCAGTGCCTTCCACTGAGTCCTTGCTGTAGGCCAGACATGTGTTTTCCCTTCAATCCTGCTCTGTAGCACCCTTGGGTAGGTTCCGTTTTTCCCTGATCTTACCTAGCGAAGGTCATACCCAGGATTTCCATACCCAAGTCCCTGAAGGAGTGTGACTGTTGAGACCCGCGACCTTGCCAGGCCTCCCTAAGAAGTGGTGAGAAATTCTATGAAGAAAAGAAGATTCCTTTTGACTCCTCTCTCTCAGGCTGAAAGTAGAGGATAGTATTGTTAATGACTTTCTAATTTGAAAATAAAAGGGTCACGCAGAAAGATGACTGACAGCAGTGATTCAGATCAGACTGGAGCAAAAGAAACCCATGGTTCCCCAGAGACTCCAGCGCCCAGAGCGCCAGGGGAGGCGATGTTGGATAACAAAAGCTTCTGGCTGCTCTCTTCCCAGGGCCAGCAGCATGTTGGACTGATTCCTTAAGCTTCAGTCTCTCATGGATAAGGTGGGACTGTTTTGTTTTTTTCTAAAGTTAGATTTAAAAAAACAACAACAAAACAAAAAACAGCGGCCTCTGTCTCTCTCTGAGTGATCTTTCTCATTCTTTTTTAATTGAGCTTCCTTCCTGGAGCTGGCTCCTGACTGCTGCTTGCGTGGGGCACTGGGCTAGACCTCATTACTGGCCTCACCGAGTCCTCACAGCAACCCCATGGGCTTGGTACTTCTGTGGTTCTCATTGACAGATGAGGCAAATGAGGCTCAGAGAGGGGAGACCACTTGCCCTGAGTCACACAGCCAGCAGCAGCAGAGCTGCATGGTTCAGAGCCTGGGTCCAGACCCAGGGCTTTGTTCGTACCCAGGCTACACTGGGCTGAGGCCTGTTCCTTGTAGCCCTTCTTTCCCCCAGCTCTCTTGGGTACTTTTTCACCTGACTGCAGTCATGACCCAGGTCATGGCCCCTGAACTCCGCCTGGCCCAGTGTCTGCAGCCTACTTTCAAGGGCTCAAGGGCATCTCTTCTTGGAAGTCTCCAGGGACCACAGATCCCAGCCCAGTGAGTCAGCTTGCCATGGCAGCACCCCCAGATCCTCACAGCACCCCTCACTGGTTTTATTTTTACTTTCACCCCTTGTAGGCCCACATTTTTTGGTCTCACAAAACTAGTCATCAAGGGACCTAATATTCACTCAGAAGATATTCATTGAGCATCTACTATGTGTGAGTCACCACGCAAAGTGCAGTGGGAAGGCAAAGGTGGGTCAGCCAGCCCCACACTCCAGGAGGGGCTGAGGAGGGCAGAGGTTGTGCCACGGCACAGACTGCCTTTGAGTGCAGGCGCCGGCCAGGTACCTCAGAACACAGTGCTGCTTGCTCTGTTCAGACGGAGAGGGGAAGACCACCCTGGACCTTTATCTATAATTTGTTTGGTTAAAACAAATAGCAGTCGCCATATGTAGGCGCCATGTATATGAATTCATTAAATCTCCGTGACAGTCCTATGACGAAGGATTATCTGATTTACAGACGTAGCAACTATGGCGGGAGAGGTTAAGTAACTGACCTGACGTCACCCAGCCAGTATGTGGTGGAGCCTGAGTCTGCCACTAAATACCGTGGGTCACTGTGCCCTTAAGTGCCATGGGACACCGCCTGTCCTGGGTGTGGGAGGATCGCCGTGCCTCCCTGGAAGGCAGTCCTGATGTCAGGTGCTACTGCACTGAGCCCCGGCACCACCTGCTGAAGACCAGGAGGAGAGGTGACCTTAGGCCAAAGAGGAAGCCACCAGCTAGCCTTTCCTGGGGAGAGCGGCCGATCTGGACTTGGGTGGGCAGGAGTGGCCGTGAGGGACCAGAGAACAGGAGTGGAGAGAGCAGTTCCTGTGGAAGGGACCTTGGGGCGGGGGGTGGCTGTGTGGCGGAGCCCTCGCCCAGCACACACAAGGCCCGGGGTTGGGTTCCCAGCCCACAGAAAGACAGGAGCAAGAGCCACAGAGAAATCCTGTGAAGGACCCGCCTGTCGGGCCAGGCAGGGCGGGAGCGAGGAGGGCAAGGGCGAGAGGCCCTTGGGCAGCACTGCCTCCCACGGCCGGCCGTCACAACAGCGTGGCCTTTAGTGGGAGATTTTCTAATGGGCCTGGTTCCTCCAATGGGGGCCGCAGAAGCTGGAGGACCCGGGCCGTGGACCACCGGCTGCTGGAAACCCAGAGACAGACCCCTGAGCTGGGAGGCGGCCTCTGAGGAGGGGCTGCCGGCTGACCGGGCACCAGGAGTCACCAGCATCAGGTCACTGGGCCCGTCTTCCACGCGAAAGAGCTCTGCCCTGCGTCAGGGCCGGAGCCACCGAACCAGCTCCAGACTGCCCACGGGGTCTGCGTGACCACCCCTGGAACCCGGGACCGCCTGAGCCGGGTCCAGGTGGGGACAGAAGGTGCTCCAGCTGAGGGTCCACCACGCAGTGGTCGCATCTGGGAAGCGGAGGAGCAGCCTGTGTGGGTCACCAAGGCCAGGGGACAGGCTCGGAAAGAAGGGACACTTCAGGCTGCCCCCCCTTCAAGACATGAAGGACAAGCGCTGAAGAGAGGCCCTGGGCCTGGCAGTTAGGAGGTCGGTGGCCTGGCATCCCATCCTGCGGGCTCAGTCCTGCCGCCCACCTGGCCCTCCAGGCTTAGCCATTGGCCCCCAGAGGCCCCCACGCTGACTGGACCCCAATGCTCCTCAGACGCTCTGTCCCTGCGGGTGCTGAGTGAGCGGGCGCT